CTCGGTGTGTTTAGAGAAAGAAATTACTGATTTATGCGTGTTGATTAGTTGTCCTGAAATCGTCTCATAGGTTGCTAGAAGTCTCTTAAGTGTCTGAGCATTCTAAGGGTTACCCTTGCAATTTTTATACCTTTAAGTTTACCACCTCTGAGACCCAGGGTACATAGGTTAGAGAGTAACTCGCTGCAAAGGATGAAAATGTAAGGGAAGAGGGGATCTCCATGTCTAATCCCTCTTCCTGGTTTGACAAATCTCTAAGTTGCATCATTGATTATGAAGGAATAAGAAATTGTCGTGATGCATTGCATAATCCACTCCGACCAAATAGGATGGAAGACAAACCGTAGTAGCGCACATCTGATAAAGTCCCACTCTAGCATGTCATAGGTCTTACTCATATCGGTTTTAACAGCCATGTAACAATGTTTTTCTGCTTTTGACGTCTTTAGATAGTGTAGAAACTCATGAGATATCAACACATTATCTGATACGACTCTCTTGGGTACAAATGCAGATTGGGTTTCAGTGATAAGCTCGCCAAGGAGAGGCTGGAGACACTTGGTTAGGAGTTTGGAATGATTTTATAGCTCATGTTGCAGTGGGCTATAGGCCTGTAGTCTGCCACTTTCTTGGGGCTGAGGATCTTGGGTATAAACTGGAGGTTTGTTTCGTTGATCGTCAGTGGCATACATCTCGAGAGGAAGAATTCTTGTACCTCCTGCACAATGTCATCTCCAACAACATTCCAGTTGGACTGAAAGAAACACGTAAAGAAGCCGTCTGGGCCTGGTGCCTTCCCTGGATGAATAGAAAAGAGAGCATCCTTGATCTCCTTGCTATCATGTATTTTGATTAATCTCTAGTTAGTCTCCTCTGAGATCATAGGTTGTATGACTTCATTAATAATCGCTCCCCATTGTTCCATTTACCCTCGCTATAGGTTTGAAAATATCAGTGAAATAACTCTCCATAGTTGTTGTAATATCTTCTTCCGAGTACACTGAGATACAACAGGTCCCTCTAGGACAGAGAATTTGTTGCGAGCTTTCCTTTTCTTTGTTGAGGCGTGAAAGAAACCAGTGTTCTTATCCCCTAGGTTAAGCCAAAGTTGTCTGCTTCTTTGCTTCCAATATTCCTCATCTGCAGATAGGTGTTCCTCAATTCTTCATTAAAATCCTTTAGTTGTGATTCATCAGGGTTTGTAGCAGACATGTGATGGTCAATTTGTCTCCTCAACCTCTCTAGCGTGCCTTTTATCTCTGCTTGTTGTTGTTTAGACCATTTAATTATCGAGGTTCTGCATTTGTCCACTTTTTGTTTAACCTTGAGGTGTGCTTCCTCGGTCCATGTATCCTCAATAAGTTTTTAGCACTTCAGGGTTTCTACTCAGAGAACGATCATATCTGAAAATACCTTTTATCTTCTTTCGCAGGGGTTCAAAATAGGTTGCTAAATCGATGATATGAGCTTTCAAAGCGTAAATACTCACATCTTCCAGAAGGATAAAGTTCAGACCAGGAACTGTTGGAGAGAGACTTATCCAATCTGCATTTGACATCATGATTTCCTCTCTTCCCTCTCCAAGACATGTAGTTTCCGGTATGTTGGAGATTATACAGGTCTCCTTCGAGTAAGAAGGTCCTAAAGTCATCAAAGGAACCCTTAGATCGTTCAGGTCCTCCTTCTTTCTCATCATTCCATGTGAGATCGTTGAAATCTCCAGAGACTAACCAAGGCGCGTCTCTGATTAGGGCCAACGCAATCAGGTAATCCCATGTTTGTTTTCTTTTCTTTTTATCTGGGTCACCATAGATGAAACTAGCATAGCTTAGGTTTCCTTCCTATTTAATTCTGGTATCAAAATAGTTTTTACAGAAGGAGATGATATCAAGGTCGATACCATCCTTCCATAGAAATGCTAGACCTCCTCCTGCTCTGCCATGTGGAGGTATTGTGTGTATATTTCCAAAACGTAGGCAATCCAGTTTCCTTACCATCATATTGTGGGGATTTTTAGTATTTGAGAGAAATATGATATCAGGATTGATTCTTTTACAGATTTTTCGGAGTCGACGAACTGTCCAGGGGTTCTCCACCCCTTGAAAGTTCCAGCTAACCATCTTTAAGGAAGAGGAAAGGACGGAGACCAAAAATCCGTCCCAATATCTTTTTGTGGAGCTGAAGCTAACGGTCCTAAAGAGGGTACATTCCTTGGTTTTCTTGAATTAGAGCTTGAGCCAACCAGCCTAGAATTCGACTTCTTTCGAGTGGTTGTGTCAAGACGAGGGACAACGAATCAAGACTTCCTTCTGTGGGGGGGGGAAGATTAGGTTTTAGAAATTGTTCTGCGGTGAAGAGATGTACCCAAGAAGCTGAGGGGGGGGGATGGGGTTATGTTTCTTCTGCCTGGGGGCCTTCCAGATCTACGCTTTGTAGCCACCGTTGGGGCCATCACAGGAGTAGTTAGAGTTTCTTCTTCATTCTCTAGAATTGGACCAAGTCTTAGCGTAGCTGGAATCCGAGCTTGATTAGGAGAGGGGGTCAGCCAAGGTATCTCATGTTCAGAGTCAGGTACAGTGCTAGAGATTAAAAGTCTAGGAGCATCATCATTAACAGAGTTTGGTCCTAGTCTCAAAAGAGCAGGAACACGGGTTGGTGTAACAGCGAGGTTAAGATATGGATCTAACTGTTCATCCGATGGTAAGGTTGGGTTCCCAGGAGCCTTTAGCATAGAAACAGCAGCTTCCTCAATTTCCCCTGCTTCTTCAGCTTGGCGGAATATTTCTCTCCTTGCTGCGATTTCTGTTGGGTCCGGGCAGTTGGCGTAATTAGAAATCGCATCTCTCACCTTCGTCATGGAAACTTGTAATGCCACAGAAGGGATATCATCCCGCAAATAAGGTTGGGGCAGCCTTGAAGAGCCTGAATGTTCATGGTGCGCCTGAGGGTTAGGAGATGCTGGTCGGTGTTTTGTGGGTTTCTCAACCCACATCTGTCTCGATGTTGTACTTTTTTGGTTAATATGGATGGAGTCTCTGGGAGAGGCCACAGAACTTGGACGTCTGTACTCCCTAGAGTGATAGGAGACTTCAGTGTCCAAATCTTGTGGGGAGTAGTAGTTGGAGTTTGCTCTCCGGTTGTAGGATTCTCTCTTTGCTTATCGTGCATGGAAGTAGCGTTTGACCTCTCATTCTCAGAGCAGTAAGGGCTGGATCGGAAAGGTATGCGGTCAGCGCCAGAGTGGTGTTGGGAGGAGTATCTCTGGCTGTTATGGTGAGAGCGAGAAGGTAAGTGAGCTCTTTCTCTGTTTCAGATCTCGTTGATAGATCTAGTAGATTGGGTTGGATATTTATCCACAGCCTTTTGATTGGTTGATCTGTTTCTCTGATACGACAGTCATGGATCTCATGGTCAAGCTTACAGCAGAAGGTGCAATGCTTCGCCAGCTTTTCATAAAGTAGAGTTACTTTTGCTTCCTCTCCGGAATAGGGGTTTCATGATTAGGGGTTTCAGCCCATCAACAAATACCCTCATACGAGCCTTAGTGGAGAAAATTTCAACCTTATCCAGAATTCCTATGTCATTTACAAGCGAGGTAAGAGCAACCTCAGACCAAAGGTGGAGGGGGATACCTTGGACTTGGATCCAGAAAGGTATCTGGTTTGGGAAGGTTGGGGAGGTGGAGGGTTCCCATCTTTGTAAGAACAGCATCCAGCGTGTAAAGTGGTAAGGGCGGTCTTCCAGGACTTTCAGAAGGTCTCTCTCCGAGGCAAACTGGAATTGGAAGCAGCCATGTCCCAGATCGGCACCCACCGGGGTTGTCTCCACTTTCCAGTGTTCTCCAAAGAAAGGGATGAGAGACCAAAGCTTCTGGACTTTAGGGTTTGTGGTTCTTCCCACTAGAGTGAGGGAATGCTTTCTTATAAGGTCAGAATTATCCACAGCTGGTACTCTAACTCTAGTTGTTCGTGGAGGCTCAGAAGATGCAGTAATCCCCTTTCCTTTCTCAGCATAAGAGAGACGTCGATGCATAGTGGAGGTGAGAGGCGTTTTCATAGTATAGGGAGGTAAAGGTTAATGGAGAGGAACATGAGAAAAAGAGGTTTTAAGGTTAAGGTATTAAGAAAAAGGTTCAAGGTTCAAACACAGTAAAGCATTGCTTAAAATCCAGTTTAAAAGACCATTTACAATGGTGAATGAAGATTTTATAGACCATATTTCAATATAGTACATTTGGTGTCGAAGAATGTAACATTCTTAAATGTTATTGAATTCATGGAAACCACCATGGATAAGGTAATGGTTAAGAGTTCAAAATGTATTCATTTTTTTTGTACGGTGATATTCATATAATCGTTGAAAATTGACAATCTCAAGATGTATTCATTTCGTTTGCCTCTCGACAGTCCTAGTTTAATCATTAGCCAAAGCTTTCACTACGTTTGGTATCAATAAAGGGAAGATTCGTAGAAAATGATAAGTTGTTTCGTGAAGACTGCAATCTTGGTTAGGCCGACTTATAAGGCAAGTTCTAGTTTCTATAGTGGCCCTTCTATTTTCACACGTGGGAAAATTTGCCCTACTCCCCTTTGCTGATGTAGACATGCTAAGAAGAGAGAGAAGTAAGCTTTATTATATAAGATTTCTATTAGATTGGTTTTCTGCCAGACTCCGAATGAACTGTGTATATCATCTTTATCAACCAAGTTTTCCAGTATTTCTACATTCCATTCTTTTGGCGAACCATTGATAAACTCACTTACTGTCATACGTGAATGAGCCACTGGTACAATAGTTTGTTTATTGCATTTCCTTAAATATAGAAACTAGGGTGTAATATTACACCAAATTATTACATATAGATCACATATTTTATGATCACAAAACCTTTCAAAAATATATTTATTACAAACATTATTTAGAGAAATAAAAAAATTGCATGACACAGAAATATCCATGAATATATAAATAGTTATTTGAGAAGTATGAGTATTATGTCTTCATTTCTTCTCGTTCATGCCAAGGCTATTCTTAACACCGTCAAAAGCACCCTGAGCCATGTTCTTCACAGATTCACCGGTCTGCTCTCCGGTTAAATTGAAATATCAGTTTTATTATCAAGTAATATTTTTTTCTTTAATAGTTATATAAAAATATAGTAATGTAACTATGCAGTATACCTGACCGAGAATACCAGTGGTTTGTTCCTGGCCAGATGCTCGGGTGGAATGAGATTTATCTGCAGCCTTGCTCTGTGTTGATTGGTTCAAATTGGCAGTCTTGTCACGTGCTGATAGCGCCACATCTGCAGTCTTGTCACATGCTGATTGTGCGGTCTGCTTGGCAGACTCAGTCCATTGCTCTGCCTTCTCCTGAAATATCCATCAAATCACATATGCATCAAGTATATTCGATATGGTTTGAAATTAATAAAAATGATTAAGATCACAAAACGGACTTGAGCTTGGCCTCTGGTTTGCCCAGCATTAAATGATTGTTGCGACATGATTGGTTATTCAAAGAAGAAAATTTTATTAAAAGGATATGGAGTCTATTAGAGAGTAAGTTCTATTTGGTTTGATTGAAAGATTGAGTTGATATGAGCTATATTTATAGTATTTTTTTAATTATGATTAAAAAGAAAAAAAAAGTGATGTGTGGAGGTTAAACATGTTTTTGTGGATTGATTGATGTCAGTTTAGAGAAATTTGTGGGTAGCCATATATATGTGTTTCGTAACATCTTTTTGACTCGTTCTTTTTTTTTCCATACATAAAAAAGAGTTCCTCTTCTCCCCAAAATAGAGAACAAGCGTGGGGAAGTAAATAGAAATTATAAAGTAAACCAAATTACTTGGGATGTATGGTTTTACGGTTTTACCATAAAATTTGAAGGTGAACACTAAAAGGAAGTACTAGTCTTCTTTTCTAAAACTTGGAGGAGTTTGAGTTTTAGGTCATAGCATTTTCTCTGAATTTGAACCACTCTTTGAGGATGTTAGTGACACGAAAAAACATTATTTCTAAAATTTTGAGCTAGAAGTAGAACAACACTAACTCATATCCTTAAATCAAGTGTCTACCACATCAAGTGGTCTAAAAGGAGGTTGTCAATTAGAAAACTTCACTAAAATTGACGGATATAAATATTATTTTAAGAGTGATTAACATTCATGATCACTTTTTTTTTGTCTTTTTATTACACCTTAAGACATTATTACTACTAAGGTAGTTTTTTTTATCTTAAATCTAAACAGTTTTCTACTAAAATTATTTTTTTTCAAAGTAAAGTGATCCTACAATTTTGAATATCTGTCATTATCCTTTCATCTTCCTTTCTCTTGATACCAGACAAAGGTCTTCAATTTATTTACCACATGATGCAAAAACGATGGAGACGAAGAAGATGAGCGGCATGAGACGACCTCTGAGCAGACCCTTGTTCTAAAACACAACCACAAAACAGGTAGTTAAACGCTCCACTTGAACCGAACGTGGAAAAGTTAGAAAACTTAGTTTTTATTTTAAGTTCAGAATCGATAATATAACATAGATCTATAAGTTTAAGGTGCAAACGATAATTAAGAAAGCAACTGATTGAAGGATTCCATAGAAATTTTAATGGTGATTGCGAAATTTTTTTTTTTTTTATAACACTGATACTAGTTCGAGCCGAATAGGTGTCATAACATACAAAGAACGAGCATGAAAAAGATAGGTGTCAATAGACACCAATAGAGAACATAGTAGGAAATCTCACCAAAGTCTTCTACACTTGAGCCTCCAAAGCAAGTAGATGATGAAGCCAAACTGGACCTCCTTGAGCGATATAAGATTGGTGGCGCAAATCACGAGTGACACTCACCGCAATTGACGATGCTGATTCATTGCGGACGGAACGAACGTGGTCTACACTCCAACAATCAATCCGTGCAAGTAGAAATCGGATATTGTGGCGGAGATGGCTGAAGATATTGTTGTTATCTGGATTTGTGATAACTCCATGAAGGCTTTCAGACGCAGTTTCGAAGATTATATTTGAGAAACGAAGATTATGCATACATTCCACCGCCCAAAAAAGAGCCCATAACTCTGCTTCAACTACTGTACGCATGCACGAGTAAGATCGACGACTATGCATGATTGTAGACCCATGTTCATCACGTAGAATCCATGAAGCACCAGAAAGATGGCTCGAATTTAACCATGAGGAACCAACATTACACTTAAGAAATCCATGTGGTGGTCTTTTCCATCCTCTCTGATCCGTCTCATCAGCATCACTACTACCTTCATTCTTACATGAAAAAGTATCAAACCATGTGGATTCTTCCTCATAGGCTCGTTTTGCAATTAACGACGGTGGTAGGACTTTATTTTCAAAAATAAAGGCATTCCTAGATTTCCAAATTTCCCATAACAACCATGGGAAGACATTCCTTGTATGAATATCCGTTCCAGAACTTGAACCCATCTTGATTAAATGTATAAAATTTAAAAAAGTAGAGTTCCGAGAAAAACCACCTAAGGGAGTAGGGAAATTTGATTGCTCCCATGTATTACGGGCTTTCTCACATGTAAAAAGAACATGACAAATACTCTCCGCACCATTACCACACACAGAGCATGTGGGGTCGACCGGAATACCCCTAGTATTCAACCGTTGTTTGACCGCCAATGCACCAGACAGAGCACGCCACATAAAATGTTTTATTTTTGGAGGGGCTTTGATTTTCCACAATTTCCTCCATAACTGTTTTTCAATTGGTGTCAGAGAGTGTCCATGTGGTTGATCAAAATCCACTAAGGCCTCCAGTAGCTTATACGCACTCCGCGTTGAGTATGAACCATTTGGTGTGTAACCCCATTTAATTGAGTCATCCAATTGAATCGAAGGTTTTAAAAGAAGTATCCGTTGCACATCCTGTGGAGTAAATGTTTGATGGAGCAAATCAATATCCCATTGACCTGATCCCTCAATAATCAAATCTGAAACTTTTAACGCTAGGTTTATGGAACTTCCGTCACGATACATTGGGGGTCTTGGAATTGTATCAATAATCCAATTTTCAGCCCATACATTAGTGTCCGCTCCATTACCAATATGCCGGTATAATCCTTTTGTAAGTAATTCTCTACCATGCATAATACTTCGCCAAGCAAATGATGGTCGAGTCCCCATTCCGCAATCCATGAAACTTCCATTTTTAAAGTATTTTCCTTTAAGAATCCGAGCAACCAAAGAATCTGGGTTATTCCAAATTCTCCACGCTTATTTCCCCAATAACGCCTGGTTAAAACGACCAATGTCATGAAACCCAAGACCCCCTTGCTCTTTCGGTTTACATAGTTTTTCCCATGAAACCCATGGTATCTTTCTTTTTTTTTCCCCACTACTCCACCAAAACTCTATTATCGCGCTCGTAATCCTTTCACAAAGACCTTTCAGTAATCGGAAAACAGACATAGCATATATTGGGAGAGCTAAGGCCACTGACTTTATCAAAACCTCCTTAGGGCCCATTGATAAAGTTTTCGAATACCAGCCTTGTAACCGACCCTCCAATTTTTCTTTTATAAAATTTAGGAGGTCTTTTTCGAACCTTGAAAGCACTCTGGGAGCCCAAGATAAGTACCTTCTCCGCCTTCCTTTTCTATACCAAGGACCTGTTTTATGGCTTGCTTCGTATCTGCTGCTATCGATTTCCCAAAGATAATAGAAGATTTCAAGGGGTTTATCATCTGGCCAGAAGCATCTCCATAAACTTTCAGACCTCTCACAATTGCTTCACTATCCCTAACTGAAGCTTCACATAATAACAAGCTATCATCAGCGAATAATAAATGATGCACCGAGGGACTATCCTTAGCCAACTTTATCCCATGTAATTCCCCTTTTGCTTCAGTTCTATTTAACACGTGAACTAAAGCTTCCGCACACAAAATGAACTAAAAAGGAGACAAAGGATCCCCCTGCCGAATTCCCCTTTCTGGTCAAATGAACCCATGTGAACGACCATTAAGTAAAATCGAGAAAGTGACGGTAGTGATACATGACATTAGCCAGACAATCCATTTACGGTCGAAACCTATTTTTTCCAGTAGCACTTCAATAAAATTCCATTCTACTCTATCATAAGCTTTTGACATATCAGTCTTGATTGCCATACTCTCTTTACCAATTTTATCATTCGTTCGTAATCCATGAACCAATTCATGGGCTATGATAAAGTTATCCGTGATTAACCTGCCACCAACAAAAGCCCCTTGAGTCTTAGAGATAATATTAGGCAGAACTCCCTTCAGACGATCACACAAGATGCGAGAGATGATCTTGTATTGAACACTACATAAGCTAATGGGCCTCATATCCTTCATCTCCGTAGGATGAAATATCTTTGGTAACAAAGATAACTGTGTATGATTCCACCCTGCAGGAAGGATGGCTGTTTTAAAAAAACCTTAAACGTCCTCTGCAATTTTTTGCCCCACAATATGCCAATATTTCTGATAGAAGAAACCTGTTAGCCCGTCTTCCCCCGGAGCACTACTACTCTTAATACCAAAAGCCGCATTTTTGATTTCATCCAGCGACACCTCTCTAGTCAGCATAGTATTCATCTCTGGAGTAACTTTGCTTTCAAACCCCTCAAAAAGCGTTTCCAAATCAGTTGGGTTAGAGTTTGTGAACAAATCTCGAAAGTATTCAGTAGCAATATGACCTTTCGATCCTTCTGAGAAAAATTCATTACCAAAAATATCCTTTAGCATCAATATTTTATTCCGCAACCACATTATGAAAATAAGTAGTATTTCGATCACCTTCTCTTAGCCATTCCTCTCTACTTCTTTGCCTCCAAAAAATCTCTTCTTCTCGGTACGCCGCAGCCAGATCATGTCTTAATCTCCTTATCATACCATAAATTGGAGATTCCTTTGAACTTTCTTTATCTAATTCCATCTGCAGACGTTCTATTCTTGTTTTTGAATTCCATTCATTAGTCCGCTTCAACTTAGACAGTTCCGACCTACACCGAGCTATCCGATCCAGAATACTTAAATTAGAGTTAACGTTCTCTACATCCCATCCGCGAATAATAGCTTCATTAACCCCTCTCTTACCATACATACGTTTGTCAAAATAGAACCTGCCTTTTTGTAAATTTTCAGGCTCCAGAGCGAAATCTATACGCAGTAGACGATGATCCGACGGCCACATACTCATATAATCCGTAGACGATTGGGGAAAAAACCAGAACCAATTCTCATTCCCAAAACTCCTATCAAGTCGGCACTGTACCCAATTATGGTCCCGCATACCTGCCCATGAAAGTGTATTACACGTTGTCCTCATCTCCCTAATCTTACATGCCTCAGCCATGTTTCGAAAATCAAAAAATGTGGATTCATCTCGTGTAACCCCCCCCCCCCCTAATTTTTTCCCATTATGCATTAACTCATTAAAATCACCTACCAACAACCATGGCTCCTCTCTAACTACACCAAT